TTGTAAGCCGTCATTTGCTGTGTTCTGTATTGTATTGTACATTGTATAGTGGATATATAGGATTAGTTCATTGATATAAAAAAAATTATTAAAAATGCTGTTAAAAGTATCTTTACATGCATCATTATTGTTATCTTTATCTTCATCTTCATCACCATCCTCATCTCAGAAGTCACAACCATCACTACATTGATCACCAAGGTGGTATCGAAATTTAATAACAATTTTACTTGAATGTTGGCAGTTATTTTTTGGACTTGTGATATCTAAAGTCCAAATACGTTTTCTTTTTCTTTTCTGTGATATTAATAAATTGCGTACCCTAACAACCGCATTCACAAACACACACATACTCACGCACACACACAATATATATATGTTCACTCTTGTAAACTCTCCATATTCATAATGATGCTTTTATTATAAATTTGATTTTATTCATCGTTGTTAGCTATTTCCACATTCGCCCTACATACACGTATTAAAACATAAAGCAACAGATAAATAGAAGAATTATGTGCAGTGTTGTATAATCCCGTTACATAATGTTTGAATGTTTGATAATGAAGAAGCCTACACCAGAATGTATATTGATCAAGCATTATAATGCACAAGATAAAGTATACATTGACAGATGATACAGAATGATATCAACGCTTACGAATAGGGGACAAAAGCTATCCTTAATAGCTAGACTAATATTGTACCCCAAAGGGTTATACTTGGGTGATTTCATGATAAAGGAGATGTGTGATTTTTTGAAAAGATTGGTCCGGCAGTGTATATCACACTATAGAAAGGGTGAAATTATTCGTTTTCATACGTTGTAGCAGAGTGCATATGAAAAGGCCCTGCATTAGGTCATCCGGCAAAGTAAATTCAATCATACATACGTTGGTATTTTATTTTTTTTTTATTTTTTTTTTTTACATGGGATAAATATGGGTAATGGGATTTCGATATAGATAGTCCAGCTGACCGAATACATGAAGCATCGGAAACTACAAAAAGAGTCAGTTTAAACGATGTGTTGTGCTGCACAAAGATGCAATCAGTTTAATTTCGGCCAATACAAGTAGTGGGTTATTGATGTAGACAAATGCTCATGTACCTGTTACAGTTCGTTTTATGTATGTTATTACCAAAGAAAAAACATGTCAGTCGATCATTCAATAGTGTCTGACAGTGAGGTCTAGAAGGTAAACGAGTTTCCTTGCATAATGTGATTACTAGTACACTAATAATATTTAAATTTCACAGATAGGACATACATGACATTTTCATAATTCCTGCAAAGTTCTACAGAATTTGATGCTGGCTGCAAAAGGGACATAGTATGTTTAATATGTAAAGTAATTGTGAGGAATGTCCAAGTGGTGCAGCTGACAACATTTGAAGTTTAAAACTGATTAGATTTTTCCTATGTGCAGCTTGCTCTTCCCCTCTCATCACCTAAGGGCCGCTTAATCCCGAGTCTACCCTACACCCAAAGGTAGCTCAAGCCCCTTCATCGTTCGACAAACGACCATTATTTATACAAGTTTTGGCTCTGTATTTAAACAGACAAACATGTACGTTCTTAGATACGTAGACAAGTTTCTAGCTTAAGTATAAACCTGGATTTAAAGGTAATACAAAGTTTTGGTATGGGGTCATGAATTTGGTTTAAATGAAAATATCTGAAGCATATGCGATCCTACAATATTCAGTGATCGTTGTTCCGGTTGAAATGGAGTCTAAAGTTATGAAATTGTAAATAATAAACTCTTTATGTTGTATAGCTCCCTCTCAAGGTCAATATATTAATGTAGCTAAAAAAACAATGTTTCTTGACTTAAATCGACCGATTGGCTATTCCCATTTGGAAATTATATATCACAACTGCATATTCTGAAATGTTCATGGTCGCAACTACCATAGTACGGCCGTAGGCGCTATTTGAAATTTATCAAAATTTACCGGGAGCACCGGTAAATTTTTATATTCAATTTTTCTCGAAAGCAGAAGTGTTTCAGGGGCTAAATTTTCTAGTGCTTATAATACATTCACAGGGGCATCCAAATATATCAAAATTGTAAAGAATCACTATCCACCCAATTTTCAAAATTTTCCAAAACTTTGTATTACCTTTAATAATTATTTATTTATGTATAAACTGTTTTATTTGTTAAGATACTGTATTTTTAAAGTACCAGACATGATTATCACTTTATGCTTTTTTCTGGTCCTTTTATTGGTTAGACATCTCGGTTAAAAAAGCATTTATTATTGTTATTATTGTTATATTAGTGTATTTGAACGTTTGGATATTAAAACCTCATTCAAAAAGTACGGTGAACCAAGCTGTTGTGAAAATGATACATGGGTATACATGAAGCTCCCTGTACACGCACCGAATATCCGTATTAAATAAAAATTTGGAGTGGAGTTTAAAAAAGATTATTATCATTATTATTATTGTTATTATTCAGTAAAGAAGACTTGCATTAAAAATGGGATCTACCCGTTTAGAAATTTGGATTATGTGAAAGAAAAGCCAGAACATTATGTTTAATTTACACAGGTAAATATAGCTTCATGCAAATGTATAATACATGTAATCCTGGGGTACACATGCCTAGACAGAGTTAGATGACTCTATAAAAAAATACCAAAGCATAATACATTTTACAAAACCTTTCTATTTTTTAAGTAATGTGGACACATGAATAATCCTGAATAACAGTAATTGATAAAATAAAATGGAAAATAAACCTATTTGACAGCTAAGCTTGCTGTGTGTAGGTTCACTTAATTATACGACTGACCTCAAATACAGATAAAAAATGACTAGACTAGACTGAGACCCCACAAAATGTAAATTGAATAGAGAGAGAAATATAAACACATGTAAGACCGAAATCGCAGAGTTTTTTTGTTATCTCCCTTCCTTTTTACCTTTATACGATGGAGCTAAAGCAATGAAGAATTTTAAGTTTCCCCCCCATACCTTCTTTCTCTTCCATTCCCATATAATTGCAAGGGAGCCATATGAAATACCACATATAAAATCAAAGTCACAATGAATGCATTTTCTTTCCCTTCCTTTCCTCCTGAATAAGAGTGAGCTGTAAGAATAATAACAAATACAAGATAGAAATTACAATATCTATATATACTTTTTTTTCCTTTCCTTTCTTTCTCACTCTTCTTTCTCACCTATATACATTGGAGTTGTAGAATATTACACATGGTTAAATAATGCCGACAAATTACAATATTTATAAATGCTTTTTTTTTTTCTTTCCCTTCTTTCCACAATTCAATTCAATTCAAGGTTTATTAAAAAACATGTGTCGCAGCCCAATGGCTGAACTGATCATGTGTACAATTAAACACTCATTGCATATTTCAAACATAAAATACAGTTACAATTGATTTGTCATTATTAAAATATATACAGTTGATATGATAAGATTGCTTGGGCAGCAAAAATAATTAAAACAGAATATAACATGAAGTCAGGAAAACGGAGAGAGACAAGATGAGAAGAAGTAAAAGAGGAAGTTGTAGAAAAGCTTGCGGTGTGTAGGCTCACTTAATTATACGACTGACCTCAAATACAGACAAAAAATGACTAGACTAGACTGAGACCCCACAAAATGTAAAACAACATATATGTTACGGACATATTGACAAGAGAGAGAAATATAAAACACATGAAAAACAGAAATTGCAGAGTTTGTTTCTCTCCCTTCCTTTTTATCTTGATACGAGGCAGCTAAAGCAATACAGAATATAAAGTTTTCCCCATAACTTCTTTCCCTTCCATTCCCATATAATTGCAAGGGAGCCATATGAAATAACACATATAAAATCAAAGTCACGATAAATGTATTTTCTTTCCCTTTTTTTCCACCCGAATAAGAGTGAGCTGTAAGAAAAATAACATGTACAAGATAGAAATTACAGTATCAATATATACTTTTTTTCCTTTCCTTTCTTTCCTACTCTTCTTTCTCACCTAAATACATTGGAGTTGTATAATATTACACATGGTAAAATAATGCCGACAAATTACAATATCTATATATGCTTTTTTTTATCTTCTTTTCCACAAGAACATGCTATATCGAATTTACAATTATAACAATTTTTCTTCTTTGCAATCTTTCTTTCTCTTCTTTCTCACCTCAATACATGGGAGTTGTATTACGCAACACATGGTAAAATAATGCCGACAAATGGAAGGAATCATGAGATATGGTATCTTAGAACACGTGTAGATATTGTAAAATATAATATTGGCGTGGAAAGAGAACAATTGTGATCAATAACAAACATAATACCTTTTTTCAAGGTTACAGAGACCAAGAACATGAATTGGAATGAAATGGGGGAAATGGGATAACAATTATAGTCAAGTTGTTAGAATTAATTTTTTTATCTTAGAACGTGTGTTTAAAAAAACGAGAAATTGTAAAATATTGTAACATATAACATAGGCGTACAAAGAGAACAATTGTGATCAATAACACATATAATGCCCTTTTTTCAAGGTTACAGAGACCAAGACAATAAATAGCAAACGAATTGTAGGAAAATGGGATAATAATTATACTCAAGTTGTTAGAATTAATTCATATGTCCAATAATACTAATTGTTTTGGTTTTTATTTTCGATCTTTTTCTTCAGATTAAGTGTAATGATATAAAAGATGAGAAACATTCTTACTTCACCATTCTGAGACAGCATTTATATTAATACATACTAAGAAGTTAAAAGATCAGAAAAGAAATAATACAACTCATATCCGAATATGATTACTTCCAATGGGAAATGTTGTGGTCTGGAGCATTTACAAAATGAAGTTTCGAATTGGAGTGAATAGCTCACTTAAATTCACATCAAAGATAGTTACCACTCACTACAAAAATGCATAGATTTAGGTTTTTCCCCAATGTTCCAGTTTTCGTCTCCAGATCAAATACCTTTGCGCGTGAAACTTCAATATGCGTGATCAGGTTTTGTTCGCATCGGAAGGTGTATGCGATCTCTGATAGACGACCATGCTCACTTGATCATCTTCGCCTGGATGTCCGTGCGAACGAACGGTGATCCACGGTCTAGATTTGTCGGCGTCCGCGGACTGCTGCGATGTGCTGGCTCGTCGAAGACGAGGAATCTCGAAAGCGCGAAGGACTCTGTTGCGGTCTTGCATCCCCATAAAACAAATTAAGTATACTTCAAGTATCAATTATAAGCCGTTTTATGAAGCATTAGTCACGTTTCGAAAAGAAATCAGTTTTTATCGAAGCTGAAAACTGAGTAAAATGCCCACAAACTTTGGCTTTAGTACTGAATAAATCAATCCAGCCTAGGTATCTACAAAATACATTCACCATGAATCATATCCAACAATTCCAAAGGACTATTACTTTCCAAATGACAGAATCTTTACTTGGCAAATTGACTGAGTGACAACTTTGGTGTCTGCCAACAGTTCCTCTTCGTTTTTATCACCGCCATTTTGAGCCTTGAGGATGTACTTTATCCTGTGTAGCACTTTCTGTCGAAGACGTTTGGGCTTGGCCAGTCGTGAGTGCGCGACCCACATGTGGAGATAATGCTCGAACGCGTCCTTCACAGAATGTCCGCAATCCTCGCAGACGTATATCTTTTCTCGCCGCTCCTTGAACGTGAAGGCGAGTGGCATCTCGTGTACTTTGTTGACGTGTGTCTCAAGGGAGCAGCGCTGAGTGAAAGAACGTGAACACTGGCTGCACTTGTAAGGTCCGACACCTGTGAAGACATTAAAGATAAAGGTGAGTTCTGGTAATGCAATTGCATTGTGAACGAAAAGGTGTGGAATGGATCAGAAAAAGTTGATCATGTAGCATGTAAGTATTGGTGTGTACTGCAAGGTTCTGTAGTCATCAAAATCATAATAAATTTGGCCCAGTCTTGGTAAAGTAACAAGCGCTGTACACAGAAAGATGTATATGGGACAACACAAATGGTGTCGGGCCTACTAACCTCGATTAACTTATCTTTCTATGCTCATTACTCAGCCAGTTTACAATTTCTATCAAAATGGTTCGGCAAATGACATTTATTTGCAATCTTGAACATTCAATGTAAGTTTCGTTTGACTCTGAGAGAATTCATTTTCTTCTTTTTTTACCAGAACTCAAGTTTATTTTTAATCACGTTAAATATATATAAGACCATTAGTATAACTTCGAGAAAGATTAAATTCGTAGTACAACAGAATCAGATCGATGTTACTGTAAAAATTCTTCTGATGACGCGATCTCCAAGCCGAAGATAGTATGTTCCCGAAATCGTACACCTAGAAATATGGCGCATTCCCAAATTCGTTCGAGTCTACGATATCTACGGCTTGCAGTAGGTATAGGAGATCGCATTGGAGAGATTCTTAAAATGAAATCGGTCAGATTCCGGACTAAATAATACTCTTGTCTGAAGAAGAGGCTACTTTCATCAATACAAGACAAGTTCATGTATTTACAAGAGAAGACAGCGTACATGATTACTAAGTTTTAAAATTATGTTAAAAAACACTGTGGCGAGTATAAGCCATTCGAAATCGCTAGGTATTGCAATTTTCAGTAAAAGAATGTTTCTATAATAGATAGGAGATTCGACAAATGATAAGCATTACTTAATAAAGATTAGAAAACACTGTTTAAGATGATTGTAGAGATCGTTTAGAACCTACAATGAATTTAAACTCTGGATACAATGGCAGTACAAGGTATTGAGTGGAACATTCATCGGTTCCTCTTGATTACTTGTGAGAAAAAGTGTTGAAATTAAGGTCTGGAAAGCTATCAATGATTGTGTGAAAGGATAGCAAAGTTCCAAAATATACTTCACAAGCAAAACATCGGTACTTATGGTGTGCCATATTCTGTTTAAAAGAACTTCTATCCGATTAAGCTACAGTCGTCCACAAAAGTTTAAAATTAGATTTTTAGAAATAAAGCTTTCGTACAAGCGAGATTTCCAAAATAACAAGATTTATACCTGTGTGTGTTCGGTAGTGCCTCTTCAGGTCAAACTTGTCATGAAATCCCTTTCCACAAAAGCCGCAGATATGTGGCTTTGTCTGGCTGTGGTCTGTAGTCATATGTTTGGTGTATGCTCTTTCCGTCGGGAAGATGCTAAGGCACTGGCTGCACCTGGGTTTGGGTTTTATACCATAAACTGGTGTAGGCTCTGCTGCTTCTGCAGTAGAGTATGGTGGTTTAGTGCTTGGCAGAGAGGTGGAGTCAGGAGTTGTAAGACCATTAGAAGGAAGTTTGTTTGGTGACATTGATTCTGTATCATACACTGCCGGAGTGTGCGTATCGTTAACGACGTTTGGTGTAGGTATGATCGATTCATCTTGTATACTTTTCAGTTGACACCCTTCTTGACATTTTGTAGGATTCTGCCCGGTTGGTACTGCCGACTCGAAAACTGTACTTGTGGGTACTTCTGATGTCACACACACTGGCACGGAACTTTGCGGGCCTCCTATGTTGGTAGGTCTTGATACGGGAGGTATCCAAACATCATTAGGTTGCATTAGATTGGTGGATGACGCTGTTGATCTTTGATGCATGAATTGTGGAAGCTCCCGAACCAAGCTGTTCTTACCGATAGACTGAGGTTGTAGAGTTGTCATATTGGTTGATAAAGCGTCTTGCGAAAAGACTCGTGAACGGGGTATGGACGTAGGATATAGATACTGTTGTCTCAAGTTGGTCTTGTTCGGGGACAGTACTCCTGGTGAAATAGATTGTGAAACCGTCGGTGGGAGACGCCAGGAAGATTGACATGTAGAGTCACTTGGAGTCTGGCAGGCACTTGCAGAACCTTGGGTTGTAAGCACCGGAGGTGTCCCGGGCCCTGAGCCGACACTACCTTCATTACTCCATCCTTCTTGGTATATGGGTGGCGGATGGCGACTTGAAGCAATACGTTTTTCTGATGGATGCAACTTGATCCCTCTATTACCGAAGGAGGCATCTTTCCCAGATGGTGGTAAGACGTTCAGAGTAGGACATACAGGTGTGTCTTTGTAAGGACCTGAAGACGTTTTTATATGATTTGCAACGGAACCATCTTGACATGAGTCTTTGCGATATTGATGATGTCTACTCGAAAGGAATGCTGAATCTCGGGTAACTCCTTGGTGATGGTTTGAGTTCTGAAGCTCCACGAGAAGATCTTTGATCAAGTCGCGTTTCATCATAGCTTCAGCGTAATAGGACTTCAACAAAGACATGCAAGTTGCCCGGCTTGGCTGCTTCCCTGTTTCATCCTGTATTATCTGACTGAGATCTTCCAGTGAAAATAATTTGTTACCAGTTGGCCCCTTAGAAAAGCGATGAAACTTCCGTGATCCTTCTTTTGGGGCACCCGAAGTAAGTGGCATGTGTTCTTCATGACGCCTTGGTGGGTAGCCTTCCCTGTGAACATCACCTATTTGGTCTGGTTGTGCATTTGTAGAAGAACAAGTGTTTTCAGTAGAGACATCTAGGGCATACTGATCCTTGGGTTCTGTATTAAACTTTTGGCCGATATTCCAATCGCGGGGGTTACGATAGAGGTCAGGTAGTGCATGATGCTTATACGTGCTAGGCGGTACAAATCTATCCTGTATGGTGTAGAAAGAAAGGGAAAGATATATGTACTATTGTTAGCGAATATTTGCTATTGTAAAGTTATATTATATGACGAACCATTCAAGGACTTTGGAAATCAGTTCATTTTATTCAAAACCACACAAATCATGATATAATCTGTTACATAAAAAAAGAGACTGGTAATAGTACATCAATCTACATATTCTAACTTGATTACATCATACATAAACTGAATGGTTTTAGGACCCCTTTAGAAGCTAAGCTTGTGAGCGGGGCCCATGATAGTCAACAAAATACATACATTTACAGTAAAAAGAATGTTACGTATGATTATACAATGGATGAAAATACTAAGCTACAGAATATAGAACATACAAATACTCTCTCACACACACACACACACACACACACGCGCGCGCGCGCGCGCCCATACACAGCAAACACACTGATGAGTAGGTCCTTAGTGGTCAAAAAGCATTTCAGAATAAGAAATTACTAAGATGCAAATAAAAACTATGTCAGTCTTTCAAGTATATACGTTTTAGATAACCTTCTAAACCTAGAAAGAGTTGTACTTTTTTATATCATCAGGCAGACTGTTCCATTCTTTAATGCAAGGGACCCATAATAATAATAATAATTGACCCATAGCATATTTTTAGAAAATAATGCATATCAATAGAAGGATGACGTTGCAAGATTTTCCACATGCCTTTTTGTACTCACTGCCACGCATTGACCTTTAAAGGTGCATTGCCTTGTGCTCGATACGTTGAAGCTGTGCCTGACTGGTTAGCAAAATACACAATGATAAACATTACAGGAGTGTTTCACCAAACCCTATACTTGGCCTCTTTTTGTAAAATAACTCTTCATTCGAACAAAAAAGCTTTTGACATCTATTTTGTTTGATTTTTGATTGATTTTATTTCTGCATATAAACAAGGTACATATACATACTGCTTATAAGTATCAGCTTGCATTGTGATTTAGATATACAGTAGGCTTACGGTTGCACCATGTGAGAGAGGTGGCGGATTGGGAGTCCTGAAAAAGAAAAGGACTGCACAATCCTCTCCCCTCGCTCTCTCTCTCTCTCTCTCTCTCACACACACACACACACACACACACACACACATGGTGCAACCGTTAGCCTACTGTATACATAGATATATTATTAAAAATTTATTTCATTCATGTAAGTTACGAATGACAGCTTTGTATTCAGCAATTAACATCACCAGCGATTCTACTGTATGTTTATAGTAGTTCCATTTCCTCAGGTAATTCAGACCCCTAGACCATTTGTTGCTTCTTTTGTTAAGAGGTGAAATGTTACGTGGGGGTACAATTAATGCTTAGAATTTAGAGAAAATTAAACGTGTAGTTAAAAAGTAGAATAGTTGATGATATATTCTGTATATACGGGTTTTTAACAGGTGAATAAATGAGGGGCCAAAATATATAGATTCCTTAAAAAATGAAGAAAATAAGAAGCCATGATTGGGTAGGATTGAAGTTTTTTCCCCAAAAGAAAGGATGGAACATTTGGCTATGCGATTTCCCCCAAGCTGCAGAACTTTAAATATGCCACTAAGGTTGATATAGGAAAGTGATAGCTGGCAGGTTTTAAAATGTAACTTGTAATGTTGGGTTTTTTATTATGTCTTTTTTTTAAAGAAAACTTTTAGATTTTGGTTAACAAATAAAACTGTCATGGTCAACTTTAGAGCTGAAATTCCTTACATTCCATGTCACACAAAAGAGAGAAACATTTGATTGTGGTCTAATTAAAATCGGAAGAAAATTAAGAACTAATCAATCTTTGAATATCGACCCATTAATTGGCAACTTGTTTAAAAAGTGTGATGTCAAAGGTAAACTCCTCACATTTCGTTCTGTAATCTTGCTATGTACTCGTTTTTGTTTTCTTTTTCCTCATAAAAATTCTCAATGCATTGCCATAATTTCATGAAAAGAAAAAATGTGTATGGAATTACATGGAATTTTAATATATTTGCCTATGTGAATGCCATCATATGATATTCCGAAAAAGGATATTTCTGATGAATTCAATTATGTATGAAAAGGTATTTTCATCATAATAACTGTTTTTATTGTTATCGTTATAATTGTTACATTATTATCATCATCATAATCATTGTTAATGCAACAGGTCAGGCTACATTCACATTCTTGTGGCAAATATTTTTTTGTAAAGAAATTTAGTTCTAAAAAATTACGAAGAAATCATCTCGTGTAGGAGCATAAAATTAGGCGAAATAACATCTAACCCCCAGAACACGATGTGTAGAAGCGTGCGAAAGTCAAATACTTGAGACACATTGTAATCAATGATAAAACAATGTACAAAACAGTTGGGTTAAATTTACCAAAAAATAGGTAAAAAGGGAAATAAGCATATTTGTTGGGTAAGATATTAAAATGACTCGGTAACATTGCATCAGATTCTGAAACAAAATCCTGGACGTAGCTCATGCTGCAATCGTAATTATAAACATTTAGGTCAGTCAGGAATCCCAGGACTTTCACAAGTAGATCGCCTGTCTGATTATCAAGATATTTATGATTAAAAATCGAAATTTCATTTTTAGATTTCCTAACGGTCCTTATATCACTACAGTTTATTGGAGAAAACGAGTATGGTTAACCCGGTCATTGAAAGATTTTTACTTTTTTGAGGCACTTCATGATCATTTTGAAACGCGATTATTTAGGGCTCTAAATGTTACACCATATCACAGACAATGATAACACGTAGGGCCATGCATCAGATTTAACATTGTTAAACGATGCCTTTAACCAATATTCGGTAACGGTAAACAACAAACAGGCATGCTCACCCTGTTTTTACTAAACGCTGGGTAACATTTTTTACCAAAGTCTTTTTAGTATAGCAATGGCACAAACTACACAATAGTGCCTTGATCGAGTTTTCGTTGGACTGGAGCAATACAATAAATCATGTTGGTATCATGAATAACAGTCATAAGTTTATGATCTTATGTGTCGTTTGGAACAAAACCTATTTTGTCTTACTTGTTTCTAATTTGCAATCAATTTAATTTGTTTTTGGCTGGAATTAACTTTAAGAGTAGACATGGTAGATTACCATACTACCTGTAATGTGATTGCATATGAAAAAAAGAAATATCTCAAAGTTTAAGTTTTTCTAGAACATATTGATTTCAATTAATTTCAATTAATTGCTGAAAATCCTATAAGTTGAAAGCAACGCGTAGAGATTGTCTGCGGTGTGGCATCCAAAAGATAGTACTCTTGCCCTTTATATCATGACTTGAAACTCTATAAATATGCATATATTGCCACGTACCCTCAGTCAGGGGCGGCGTTTTCTTTTCACGAAATGCGAGGAACGAGGGAGGAGTGACGTAATGAGCAAAAACGTTTTTGTTTTGGGGGAGAAAATATTCGCATCATCACCGCTCTTACATGTGATATGCAGGCCCCGTGGAACGTTTTTCAAAGTGGGAGTGAGGGGGGGGTTAAAGTGTTTGCGATCAGATAGAGCAAAGCAAGTGGGGCGTAAATTGGCAAAGCCCTGGCGGGGGTCAAGGGACGGAGCCCCATGAAGCTTAGGGTTTTTAGGCATTTAATAAGGTTCAGATGAGCATATTTTGATACCTTATTTGTGACACTT